CAAATTTAAAAAAATTGACCAAAAATGTAAATAAAAGACAATTTAAGTGGGACAAAACGAATACTTGATTATAAATTTTATTATATTGTTTAAGTTCGTCAATATTTATAATTGATCGAAACAATTTTTTAGAAATTTTTTTAAACAAATTAATTGTCTTCCTTATATGGTATAAATGAGATTATTGAGCCTCTAATTTTTGTTTAATCGACGACGATATATTTTAATGTTGATCCGTTATTGATTCTCTTTGTACTATGTTATTTATTTTGTTCTTGATTTTTTTTTCTTTTTTTTTTTTTTTGAATAGCAATCTTTGTCCATCATGAAACCTTTTTGTGTTCTTTATGACGCGTATTTTCTCTGTTCTCGTGACACGATCTTTATGTAAGACGGACACATGATTTTATATTAAGGCAAACTTCTAAAATTTTAAGAAGGAACAAATTTATAAAATTCTAAGGGTGAAAGCATATCATCAATTGAAAGTATAATATAAAATATCCAAAATATATATTAATTTAAAAATTTTAGGGTGAAGATTGTCCTCACCCTATCTCTTTCAGTTCATCTATGTCTTTATATATATTTTTTGTACGTTTTTGGCATACTTTTGTGTATTTTCTTGTTCGCACAGAATCTCACAACATCTGTTTTATGATTAATGTGTCGATAGTCAAGTATAGTCAGATCAAATATAAAAAAAATATTGTTTTCAATATAATTAAAATTGTTGATAATGGTGAGCAGAAATGGTGGTGAGTGATGACCGATTATGGAAGACTTTGATTAGTTCAATTGACATTGTATCTAAAGTTAAAGAGTCAAACTAATATTTTATTTAAAATTTATGGATTAATTTCAAAACGTACTTTTTATTACTATGTCACATCATCAAACTAAAATTATTTAATGTTTCAATAACGAAAATTTATAAATCGATAAGTAAAATAATAATTTTTTTAAAAAAATAATTAGTGTCCGGAAATGAACATTTAAGAAATGAAAATGATCATTTTAATAGTTTATCCCAAAAAAACTACTTGTTTCACTAGTTGTCAAAATAGAGACTGTAATTATCTATTAACTTCTTATCAAAGAAAAAAACAAATCAAAATTTTAAAATAATTAAAATATATTAAATATTAAATTAAAAAAATTAAAATGATAAAAAAAAATAAAATTTAACTTGTATTCAAATTAGTATGGACCTAAAATATGATTAGTCCCAACAATTTTAAAACTCTATCCCTCCCATTGTTAATTAACGCCGTCCGCGTCTACGGTCAAATTCCATATCCCGACCACTACCACGTATCCCGAGAGATTTGACTAATTTCTGTTTTCCCACCAGAAAATGATCGAATCCCATCGATGATTATTAGGTGTTTTTTTTATCGAAATATCATCCTCATATCTATTAATTATCTATTAGATATTTTTTTTCATAATATTATTGTTCTAATATTTTTTATGACAAAATACATATCACTATACGCATCTTCGTGATGTTTTATCTAAATTGGCGTCACGTAAGGGAATACATGGATCTTTATTCGCGCCTTCGTTGAACATATGACATATACGTAAGGCACAAATTATGAAACATATCTTCTATGAGAAATATTGACATGACACCACGTGAAAATACATGTTTCAAGGGACATGCCTCCCAAGGCTCACACCATCCCTCAAAGCATTTAAAAAAATATAGTTTAAAAAAATATATGGACTAAAACCATAATTTAATAAATATTAATTATATGAGTTGAAGAATTTATTGGGGTTAGTTTATATAAACATATTGATGTGCTTATGTTATATTTATTGATAATGTGAGATAAAAACTAAAATATATATTTAATTTTTTATCTTTATATATAATGAATCTATCTTTATGGATAAAAATGTAGACCTTGATGGCATACTCCTTGAAGCATGTATTATTATGTGACGTCATGTCAACATTTTTTATGGGATGCGTGTTTCGTGTTTCGTGCCTTTCGTATATGTCAGAAGTTCAACAAAGATATGGATGATGATTTGCACCTTGTTAGAAAAGTACGAGATCAATAATATTAAAAGATAAGATGTCCATGGTGATTTGCGTTTTGCTAGAAAAATACGAGATAAATAATATTAAGAGATAAGATATCTGACAAATAATTAATGAGTGTGAGAATGATATTTCGTAAAATCGCCTTACTATTAACTATTGAAAAGCCTTTGTATTTAGAAAAAAAGTAGATTGGGTGGATTTGTTAGAGAAAGAGAATGTTTGATTTCGAGAGAGAAAAATAAATAGAAAACAAATAGTAAGCAATAAAATAAAGAAAAGAACAATGGAGCTTGATGGCGAAAGAGAAAGGCGAAGAGACAGATAGGCATTGTATTGTATCTTACAGCGTATAAATAAAAGCAAGGCCACAAACCCAAGGGTTCTCTTCGTTTATGTGTATTTCCTCCTTTCTCTTTGATCCAAGCTGTAAACAAAAATCCGGGTCCTGGTTTGGTTCTGAGTTATTGGGTCTTACCTTGAGAGATGGCGAGAATCGGCGGCGTTACGTGGCGGCGGACGGGGAAGATCGACGGCGAAGTTCATGTTCTGGCCGTTGATGATAGTCTCGTTGATCGGAAAGTCATTGAAAGACTGCTCAGAATATCCTCTTGCAAAGGTGGATTTCTATAACTTCTTTGAATTTTTCTCCAGTAACCACTTCATTTTATATGGATTTTCTCATTCGATTTGGGTTGGTTGATGCAGTGACTGCAGTTGATAGCGGGATCAGAGCTTTGCAGTTCTTGGGATTAGATGAAGAGAAAAGCAGTAATGGCTTTAACGTGAGTCAAATTCGAACTTCTCCCCCAATAATCACAGTTTCCCGAGAAAATTCCAGATGACTCGCAGCTTATTTTATTCATGATTTCAGGATTTGAAAGTCGATCTGATTATCACCGATTATTGTATGCCTGGAATGACGGGCTATGAGTTACTCAAGAAAGTGAAGGAATCCTCTGCTTTTAGAGAAATCCCGGTCGTAATCATGTCATCGGAGAACGTTTTAGCTCGAATCGACAGGTAATTTTATCGTTTTCAATCTGTTAAAACGAATGCAAATCGGCTAACTAATTCTCTGGAAAATTTTGACGGACAGATGTTTGGAAGAAGGAGCGGAGGATTTCATTGTGAAGCCGGTGAAATTATCCGACGTTAAACGCATCAAAGATTACATGACCAGAGATTTCCGAGTCGGAGAAGGAGAAGAGAAAGAAAGAACAAGAAAAGGAATCAACAAGAGAAAGCAGAGAGACAGCTTTGACGATCTCTCTTCATCTCCACCGTCCATTTTATCATCTCCGATTTCATCATCATCGTCATCATCTCCATCCCCACAGTCACCGTCACCATCACCACCGTCAATCATATCAGCATCAGCACCGAGTTCTCCACCACTAGATTCTCCCACCAGACGTCTCAAAACGACAAGCTCCGAATAGAACAAAAGCCCTGAAAAAAAGTAAGTTAATTCGCTCACAGAACTTTTAGAATTTCCCTTGCAATTCTCCGTTAATTTTAACGGTTTTTGGTTGCTGGTTTCACCTCCCCCCCATTATTTGGTCCACTTGTTTTTTGTTTGTACTTTTTTTATAATATATAATTAATGCAACAAAATCACTTACAAAATCTCTCCTAATACAGATTGTGATTAAATTAATTAATTTGGGTGATGGTGATACATGGAGAGGTCGGTCCAGATGATATGAGTATGGAAATAATAATGGATACGATATGATATTGGTGTCGAGAAGGGAATATTTGGAAGAAGATTGGGCAGTGGGGACGTATGTGTCCCCTCTGTGTTAGGGGGGCTAGCCTGGCGTGACACAACTGCCACTCCTTGTCTTAATCAATTTATTTTTCGACCCAATTCTGACTTGCGACAATTTAATATAAGATTACAAAATATTAATTTTAAGATGTAATTGAAAATGGAATAAAAATTATAATATTTTTAATTAAAAAAATGATATATATATATATATATGAATTAGGGGAAAGGTATTTGTGCAAGTGTACACATGTGATTGGTGTGAAGGTTGGGGACCTAGTGCCCTTCAACCATTGGGCAAAACTGATACCGCTTTGGGCCCTACATTTTACTCTCAGTTTGATTGTTTATACAGCCACTTTGCTTTGGCGTGAGAATGAGGGCCTCACTTTTTGCTACCTAGCCTAGCCTTCATCCCAATAAATTTCAATCTTCTTTCTAATTATATAATTATTAAAAAATATATATTAAATTTAAAATTAATATTTCGTTTTACTTCACCTATAAGAAAATCAATATTGTTTTTTTTTTCGGTGAGAATGAAATTCATGCTTAACGATATATAAAACCATTAGTCTTAAGATTTAGGATAAATTAAAAGTGTTATTTATGTTTTACTTTTTTTTATTTTAACCATTCAATTTTCAAAAATTACATTTTGATCATTTGAATAATCGATTTCATCTATATTGTCGTTGAATCGTCCCATTTGTTTAGTCAATAATCGTCACTAAAGTGCTTTTTTTTTTCTCTCTATTGTCTTATTTGTATAAATTTCCTAAAAGGACTTTAGATCTCATAAAATTAGAATAAAAAAAATCATCAAATCTTTATGTATCATTACCAAATCAAACGATCGATGAAATATATTCTTTAGCGTGAGCTTTCTTTTCTTTTGAATTGCTTCAACTTTCAAATGGAATCTATTTTTTTAAAATTGTAAGTATTTGTCAACTGTATTTTGTTGAATTTCTGGTCACATTTGAATGCTCTTCCAACCATATATATATAGAGTTAATTGCACACGATGTCCTTAAACTATGGTTCTCATTCTAAATTAGTCTATAAACTTTCAAATATTTCATATCAGTTCTCAAACTATGAATACCATTTCATTTTGATCACTTTATATATATATTTGAACCTCCTCAAGCTACTTACCCATAAAACTAGCCATAAAACGCTCATCCGCAATTCAAGAAAAGAATATTATTCATACATTGCTGCTGGGCCAACAGCGACCTAATCGATCACAGGCAAGGAATATGAATCCGTGGCACACAAATCACCCTAGCCTGTTTTATTGTTCTTCTTTGTGTAGTGAAAGTCAAAAACAGAGTTCGAAATCTTACGAATGAAACTCGATTTACGGAAGTGTAGCTCTTACTTCTTTCCTATCTGCCCCAAATGACTGCAGTTTAAAACCAAAATCGAAATCATGAATTCCGACGACGATTATTAACGGAGAAAAATGAAAAGAGATAAGGTCAGGCAAATACACATTCATACCTCAACACCCAAACCTTTGGCATACACATTCGTGAAGAGTTCGGAAGGTTCAGGCATTGGACTTTCCTGGGAAAAAAAAGAAAAAACAACAAAACAAAATAAATAAAATCACATGCAAATAACTTCATTAAAATGAGAATTACCAACACAAAATGAAGAGCAAAATAAATAAATAAATAAATTACCTTGGCTTGAGCAATCGCATCGTCTACCTCTTTTCTCATTTCCTTCTCAATGTCCTGAATTTCCCCCCCAATATTTTGATAATTGCGTTACCACAATGAAGCCATTAACAACATTCCAATGCTGATAGTTTCATAAATGAAGTTTAACTAAAATACCTTCAACTCTTTCTCAGTAGCTAGGTCATGGGATAATATCAGCTTCCTAACTCTTTCGATTGGATCGCGCTCCTACAAACATAACATCAAGAATCTCAGTTTTTCAGTAACTTGATTACAACACAACATGGAATTTCTATCATTTAAAAAATGAGTCCTTGGAAAAGTAGTGTGAGTATCAACCTGTCTAACACCACTAATCTCATCACGTGTTCTATAGGTGCTTCCAGGATCAGACATGGAGTGTCCATGATACCGATAAGTATCCATTTCAAGAATCTGCATAAATAAGAATCAAAAGCAATAATGCAATAAAATATAGAAAATAGTAGGAGATTTCAAAAAGGAATTAGCAGCAAATAAACAGGTCTCCTCATAAAATCAGATAAAATGCAAGGATTCAATTAGTCCTTCGATAAAAATGCAATATCATTATTTAAAAGCCCACAGCATTCAGAATCATATATCAAAAGAATACAGTTTTTACACCTTTAAACTATTGTGAGTAACAAGAGTAAAGACACAAAATCCTTTTAATTTAGTTTATAGCGTCTTCTTGCTTAGAAGTTACATCATCCAAGTATTTATTAGTTATTTTTTAAAAAAATACAAGGGAAAAAATATTAAATATCTACAAAAAAAAAAACTTAGTCACAACCCAAAACCAGGAATTGATACCACTTAATTATGCATTAGGGAGTCATATTCTTAATTTTCCATGGGAAGCACCTAATATGCTTTCCCATATCAAGCATCCTGGGAGTTGCAGGGATCATCCTATAAGCCCCAACTGATTTTAGGATAATGTTAGTTTTGCTTCGTAAATGGCAATGGAAACTCAAAAGGAATGCTTACAGCTTGTTCCTTATATGACTCCTTTTATCAAACCAATAGACAGTCCATGCAAAAATCTTTGCATCTGATATCATATCAGCAAAAGAACAACTTATCAGCTGCTATATGACTGCCATACATTAACATCGTTCCCTAAATAAAGAAGTCATTCATCACAAGAATCTAACATTGAAGATTCATGAATTCCATAAAACATGAGTTAATAGCATAGATGCTCATCTTTTATATAAAAAATTTGGGAGTTATGTTTACCCTTGATGTAAATTTACAGCTTGTTCCTTATATGACTCCTTTTATCAAACCAATAGACAGTCCATGCAAAAATCTTTGCATCTGATCTCATATCAGCAAAAGAACAACTTATCAGCTGCTATATGACTGCCATACATTAACATCCTCGTTCCCTAAATAAAGAAGTCATTCATCACAAGAATCTAACATTGAAGATTCATGAATTCCATGGAAACTCAAAAGGAATGCTTACAGCTTGTTCCTTATATGACTCCTTTTATCATACCAATAGACAGTCCATGCAAAAATCTTTGCATCTGATATCATATCAGCAAAAGAACTTATCAGCTGCTATATGACTGTCATACATTAACATCCTCGTTCCCTAAATAAAGAAGTCATTCATCACAAGAATCTAACATTGAAGATTCATGAATTCCATAAAACATGAGTTAAGTAGCATAGATGCTCAACCTTTATATAAAAAATTTGCAAGTTATGTTTACCCTTGATGTAAATTTACACCTAGCTTTTCACACGTAATGAAGATTTCTCAAGCATTTGTTTCCAATGTTTGTTCTGAATATGCTCTATCATGTTTCAGCTTGCCTATAGTGCTATTCACCTTGACACAGATATATATTCAGGTATGAAGCAGATGACTAGAAATTTCAGGGCCAAAATTGAAATCCATAAGTTCAAGGTGCTTCAGAAAATTGCTTTAAGCCTATAAATGGGAGTGATTTATAAAACTAGCTAAAATGGAAAGGTTACTCTTCTGCAAGGATTAATTATTTAAGTAGATAAGGTTAAGCTTCCAGGTTGCAACTCTAATAGCATGTAAAGCTACAAAACAAAAAAAAAAATTATGCTTCTAAATACTGCTTATTGGCTTCACACAGAGACTTCAGACAAAATATCAGTAATAAGATCATTCAGAGAAATAGAAAGAAGAAAATGACATTAAGAAGAGCATAAATTTCTCCCGTTTTGATAATAAAAAATGGACAAGAAAAGCTCTTAGTGCCAACTTATCATCTATCCACTTTTAAAATACCTCTAGGATACCCCGTTATATTTCTTCACTTAATATTATAACTTATTTTTTCTCCATACCACTTCTCCCAATATCTAAATAACTCAAGGAAAATAGAAATTTGCTTGTATCACTTTTTCATTTCTTTTATGCTCTACAAATAAAGAGAAACACATACTTTTGCTTCATTTCACTTCCCTTCCCTTTTAAACTCCTCTTATCCAAACATGACATTGTCAAAATGGGACAGTCCCAGCGATTCACTGATCTAGGCACTCTTAACAATCCCAAGGTAATGAGAGTAAAACAAATGAAACTAATATGAAGATCTTATAGAAGTGAGAGAAGAGCAAAGTCTTCTGATGCAGAATTCATTGATTCAAACTATTAATAAGGAAAAACTAGCATATGAAAAATAGGGTAAATTTCGTAAATGATCCCCCGACTATAGGACAATGCTTTATTGAGTTCTTCGACCATTAAAAGTTACAAAATGGTCCCCGTCAATAGCGCGTTGCTTTGTTGAGTCCCTTGACTATTAAAAGTTACAAAATGATCACTCGATTATTCATATGTTCCAAACTCGTCCTTTTTTTGTAAAAAAATGATGTCATTTTGAGTTAAATGCTTAGCTGTTGACAAAAATATGATAGTCGTTTGAGATTTTGGAATCAAATTTTATATCATAATCAGGAGGTTAACATCAAACTCAGATTAACGTCAAATTTTTAACAAAACTGATGAGTTTGGAACATATGAATAGTCAAGTGACCATTTCGTAACTTCTAATAGTCATATGACTCAACAAAGCAATGCCCTATAATCAAGGGATCATTTCGTAACTTTTAATAGTTGGGGACTCAACAAAGCAGTGTCTTATAATCGGGGTTTACTTTACCATGAAAAATAATATGCACAAGGAAATGGACAAATAAAAAAAATCAAGAGCTGGATGAATAAACTTACAATTGGCCCATTCTTCAACGCATGCTCTTTGGCAAACTTGCAGGCTTGCTTCACAGCGAGAACATCCATGCCATCCACCTAGAAGTGAAGAATATGAAAAATAGAACCACGTATGGTAATAAGTACACTGTTTTCTATCTTTTGGAGAAAGGAGAATTAACACGCATTACCTCAAATCTAGACATGATAGAAAAACTTACATCTCTACAGCTGAACAAAAGGTTTTCACTTTAAGATCTAAATGAACGGTTTCTTTTTGCATCAAACTCTCAAACCTTAGAAGAGAACCAACTTAAATACTAAGAACCCAATAGTTTAAGCAGTTGTATAAAGCCCTTGTGATTCTGGTTCAGTAAAACTTCAATATCTAATTTGAATTAGCAGAAGCAGCACTTTCACATAGCTCAAAATCAAAACCATTGCAGTTTTTTAGTATTCAGAATTTTGACATCTGCTTATCAGTTACTTCAAACACCAAAATCATCTGAAACATCATTTACTTACAATAACCACAGCATTACTAAAGAAGAGATAAACCATAACTCTAATACAATTATTAATGTCTCAAGCTTCAGCAAACCAACTAATTCTCACCTTCAAACCAGGGGCATAATCCCCACGTTTGTAATATGCTGGACTCTTTGAGGCTCTCCACTCAGCTGTCCCCATACCATCTGCATATAATCAGATAAATATTTATATGAAATAAAACACAAATAGACTGAATTTATAACCCGTAAAATTTCTTTCAAATTCATATCCCTCACAGTGATTATTCTCGCAGACCAAAATTGCAGGCAGATCCCAAAGCGCAGAAATATTCAACGCCTCGAACAGCTGTCCTTGATTAGCAGCTCCATCACCGTACAAAGCAAAAGTCACGGTTTCGTCTTTAGAATACTTCTGTGCAAACGCCAAGCCACATCCTAGCGGAACTTGAGCCCCAACAATCCCGTGACCGCCATAGAAATTCGAATCCTTCTTGTAACAATGCATCGAACCTCCTTTGCCCTTAGAACATCCAGCCCGGCGTCCCATAAGCTCGGCGAAAACTTCCAGCAGGGTGCCCCCGCGGCCCATGAATATGCAGTGGTCACGATAGGCGGTTATGATGCAATCCTTTTTGGTTATGGCGGCTTCCATGCCGGAAGCGACTGCTTCTTGGCCGTCGTACAGGTGGCAGAAACCTCGAATGAGTTTGGCCTTGTAAAGTGAGTCGGCGGCGATCTCCATCCGACGCATCAAGGCCATGTTTCGGAAGAAGTTGAGGAGTTCACTGGAACTGGTCTCGACGGAGCGCGAGGGGGCTTCGCACTGGTGAGCGGTGAAAGGCACGGAGGTCTCGACGGTAATAGGAGTTGTGTCGGTGGAGATGGGGCGGCGGATGGATACAGCGGATGAAAGGAGCTTCAGATTGGCGGAGCTGGAAGAAGAGGAGCGCAGGTACGATAGAGCCATCTCGACCGTCGGATTATGAAACGGAAGTTGGTCCAATCCAAAGATTCAGAAAGAGAGAACCAAGAAAATAAAGGCGAAGAAAGAGAATAATAGAATCAGAAAATGTTTTTTTTTGCTTATAATATAAATAATATTATTTATGGTTAACTACAAGGTGATCACTTTGTTTATGTTTTTTTCTTTAATTTTGGTCATTGATTTCAACAAACATAAGATATAGTCACATTTATTTTTATTTAATTAAGATATGATCATCTGAGTTAACTACCGTTAACGCAGTTAAATATTTTAATATAATCACACATTTTGTTCCTATTATTTACAAATTATCTCAATTTAGTCCTAATTTGGTATAAATCTTAAAGGTCAAATTCTCATTTTTAGTCCCTTTATTATGCTTAATTTTGTGATTGCTGTTTTTAAGGGTAAAATATGTTCTTAATATTAAACTTTGACCATATTTTTTTTTGATGATTGAGCTATAAAAAGTTAAAATTATAGTACTTAAGTTTTCTAATTCATTTTTTAGTCATCAAACCGTTAATATTTTAAGGTTTATAATTTTATTTTTTTTCTTTTGTAAAAATTAAACCATTTCAATTATCATCTACCAACGTATGTGACAGATGGTAAAACAATGTTTACCTTTTATCCCCGTTTTCTTATCAATAATTTTGTTTTTCTCAAATTTCATTCAAATCAATGAAAATCACGTCAAAATTTTAATCTTCTAATGCTAAAATCTATGTCTATAATGGTTCGATGAAGTTAGTTTCATAATATATTATTTTTCTTATTGAAGCATGTTTCTTACTATTTAAAATTTTGGTTGACCATGTCCAAAACCATTAAGTCCGACAAAGTTTTTACCCCTTTAAGAAATAAAGAGATAAATGTTTAAGTTTTGTGAATTTTATAAATATATTAACAAAATTAAATTGGTAAACGATAATGAAACAAATGTATAAGTGTCTAAAGTGACCAAAGATATAAGAGAATGTGATAAAATGATATATCAACAATGTAATTAGACTTACTTTATCATATACATCAGTCGAATAAATCTTATAGTTATAAAGCTAACATAATAGATTTAAAAGTAATACTAAATTAAGAGAATATATAAATAACATAGATCAAATGTGTGATTATATCAAAATATTTAACTGTTGTTAACGACAGTTAACTCGGGGTGACCATATCTTAACTAAATAAAAACGAAAGTGATTATATCTTAATTAAATAAAAACGAAAGATATATTATCTTATGTTCTTTGAAATTAGTGACCAATAGTGGATAAAACACAAACATAAGTGATCATGTGTGTAGTTAGCCATATTATTTATTATATATATTTGGAATACCAAATTCGAATTGCCCGTCCAGCTCAGTTGGTAGAACGCAAGGCTCTTAACCTTGTGGTCGTGGGATCAAGTCTCACGGTAGGCAATTCATAATTCTGACTGCCGGAGGTCTTCCACGGAAGTTGCTCTCAACCTGGCATTGGGAGCAGTCTACTATCATATCTCCCCCTCACCCCATTATATATGGGAATAAGGCCAGCTATTTTTTTTTGGAATACCAAATTCATAAAGAAACGTTGTTCTTTTAGTGATATTTTTGGGGAATATTACTCATTTAATATTTAAACTATCAATTTTGATATTTTTTTAGTATCCAAACTTTTATTTTTTTCAAAATTATACCTAAAGTTTAATTTTTGTTTCATTTTAGTACTCTCGTTAAAAATTAAACGTTATGATTTAAAAAAATTGAAAGTTTAGGTACTAAAATGGACCAAAACTGATAGTTTAAGTACTAAACACATTAAGTTTCTAACGATGACTACTAAAATGAAACAAAAACTAAACATTAGGAATGATTTTGAAAATATTAAAAGTTTAGGTACTAAAACGAACCAAAATTGATAGATTATATACTAAATATGTAGTTTACCCTATTTTTATATGATAAATCGTCTTTTACTTTTATTTAAGGTCTAATACACATTTTAGTCCTAAAAGATATTTTTCTCCCACATTACTCCTTAACATTGTTCAACTCAATTCTACGCATACAAGTTACTATGATTCAAATTTAGATATTATTTAAAAGTTAATCCTCACTTATTTTATTTAAATTTTGATCATCGAATTATGAAACGAAAACTCGAGAAAAAGTTATTTAAATTTAAAATTTAAATTATATATTAATCAATATCTGAAAGTAATATAAATCTTTTATCATTATACTGATGGTGCTAAATTCAAATATTCAATTTGGTATTTAAATAAGTGTCCAAACTATACCGTTTTTCCTAAATAGGTGTCTAAATTAATTTTCTTCTCATCCAAGTGCCTAATGTTACAACCGTTACCCGTTTAGGTGCCCGGGCCGTCAACGACGTTAATTTCCTCGTTAAGTGACACGTATCATAATCTGGTGATTTTAAAATTTATTTTTTAAAATAAAATATTACAAATTTTATGATATTAAAAAAACTAACTTTTATTATATTATAAAGCAACCCAAAAATCCAAAATCCAAACCTTAATCCACTGTCGCCCCCTTTAGGACCATGACCTCCGCCACCGATGTAGTCCATGCTATCCTCCTACTCATACATCGTCGTATTTTCTGTCAATTGGTCGTAAGAATTGCACGGAATCATGATTTTAATCTTAGGGTTCCGGTAGTTTAAAAAGTTGATTCGTTGTCGATAGGCCATCAATCGATCACGATTTCATAGGGTTTGGTCGCCGGGCAGAGGGGAGGTCAGGTGGAGCTTCGTCGATGGTAAAAGGCGGATGCCCATCGTGGGTTTAGGGGTTGAAATGAATGTTTTCAAAGTTTGGGTTAATTTCAAAATTTGTTTTTTTGTTTTTTAAAATATATATAATTTAAATTTTTTAATTTTAAATAATTTTTTTAAAATTACTAGTTGTGACACATGTCATTTAACGAGAAAATTAACACCGCTACCGGCCCAAGCACCTAAATGAGTAACATTTGTAACGTTAGATACCTGAATGAAACAAAAATTAGTTTAGTCACCTATTTGGGAAAATGAGTATAGTTTAGGCACTTATTAGATATTAAACCTTATTATTATTTTTAGTATTGAATTTAGATATCGTAAGTAAAAGCAGTTGATGGGCTGCTGCGTGCGGGTTGGTTGGCGGCTTGACTCGGCTAGTTAAAGCTTTATCCTCAATCTAACACTAAAAATAAACCATAAAGAAGTTTTTTTTTTTTATAATTTTTAAAAGAGAGTTATTATTTAATATATTGGCGGTTATACTAATCTTCATCAATATTTTTTTTACTTTTTATATCACATCTTTATTTTTATTTTTAATAAGTATATTGTATATCTTTATGATACGTTTTTATATATTTTTATGACATATTTTTCTCTGTATTTCAATATTTTTTTTTGTCATTTGATTGTTGTAATTCATTTATTTTTTTAAGGGTTGATTCGACTTCACCACGACTAATCAAGACAACACTTACATGTTATCATGTTGATCTTCCTTACTCTAGATTCACAGATTGGATTTGGATATTTAATTTACATTCATGGATATTTTTTTCACGTCGCTCGACTCTGATTAACGATTTTTTTGTGGTCTTTTAATAGCTTGATCTTATTTTGCTGTTCGTTTGTCGATGCGATCAAATTTGTTATGTATATACTTGTTCGAGTTTTGTTAGATTTTTTATTAATATTTCTTTGTATGATTCTTATACGATCTTAAATTACAAGTTTTGTGCCAATAATTTTAAGAAAATATCCTAATTATGTATTTAATTTATGCTTATAATTATAGACTTCTATTGTAATTTGAGATATTTTTTTAATAAATTTAATAATTTCTATAAAAAAAATATTATATAATATATTGAATTACTTTTACATTATACGTATACATTCTCAGTAATTAAAATGATTATATGAAAGCTCCTTTTATGTAGGATGAATTGCAGTAGAAGAAGGTGGCCCCGACCATACTGCATATAAATAAAGCCAAACATCAAAGCAAGTATATTAAGTAGATGCCCTTTGCCCACATCCATATGTAAAAGCTTCAACCTATATCCACAAGCCAATAAATCTAATCTCCTAAGCTTAAAAGAGAAACAAAATCACCCTTTTAAGTATCCAAGACAAGTGGAAACTTCATAACAATTGTTGTTTATCACAGTAAAACAAAGTGATGAAGACAGCAGCCTGTCCGGTAGCGGCAGGTGTCTCCAATGGACATCATCATTGCATTAAGAAGCATTTGTTAGCTAATCTTCTGTTCCATGTTCAACTTTCCTCTACCACATCATCACCTTTGACGCCACTCTTAATCGCCTCGTCACTAGGACTTCTTCGTTTATTCTTTCATGGGTTTTCCTTGGTTTTTGGAAAGATAATGGAGTCTGAGCAGCGTCGGAAGCGGAGGAGAAGCTACAGGCCCAACTCCCGGCCCCATTTCTTGTCTCTAAAGTTGTTAATGGTATGCTTATTTTTCTTGGTTTTGCCTTTGTTCTTGTCTTCCTCCCGGTTTCCGATTCGGACTGTGCATTTCCACCCGCTCCTCAGCGTTTCGAGCTTCTCAATCTTGTCCAAGATTTCCCTTCAGGGTTCTCTTCGTGGTAAATCACTGTTCCCTTTGGTAGTAGAAGATCGAGTCTTGTTCCCCGATCACTTGCTCTTACTTGTTTCCGGCAAAGTTTATCAAGCTGATAAATTGGTTTATCCAGCATTGGTTTTTGTCTGTTGATGAATATGATGGGTCTAGATCCATTGTTAGGTGTCCTCTCCCACCTCTGAATTACTCGGCTACGGCGGAGTTGAGGCGGCGTGGTGACAATGTTCATCGTAATTCGTCTTTGAGACTAATACAACGGTTCATTCATGGGATAGAATGGTGTACGAAGCCGCAGTTGATGGGGAAACGGCCGTGGTTTTCGTTAAAGGATTAAATCTTCGACCCCATCGAGTATCGAATCCGACTTGATTCGGGTTCCGGTTCGGTTTAGGTAAAAATGAAGGATTTGTTCTGGTGAGCAAAGCAGTGGCGGCTGCACAAGAGGAGGTTAGGT